GATGGTCTCCCACAAAGAAAGACAGAGGGCAGGTGGACAAGGACTACTCTGAGAAACTTGTGAAAAACAATGACGAACTCCCAAGAGGGCAGGCAGAGATGCTGGGGAGAGGGGCTGACACGCTCAGTACCATACCTGTGGGTGCTGCAGAGACACAGGTGACAGCAGGGTCTAGTTGTCAAAAAACTTAATTTTTGCCAGCTTCTTGTCCAAAAATTGTATTTTTATTTTGCATCTTTGTTCCAATATTAGAATGAGCCATTATTTCAATCCTTCCTTTCCTCTATCCCGTTACTGATCATATTGATTTATAGAAAACCTTCCTTTCTCTTCTTCTCATTTTCCTATGTGATTGGATGGATGGATGGATGGATGGATGGATGGATGGATGGATGGATGGACAGATGGACGGACAGAAGATAGACAGATAGATAGATTATATCTCTCTATCTATCTCTCAATGATGTTGGGAGAAATCCTTTCTCCTTGCCACATAAGCAGTGGAAATACTCCCTAACACTCAAGACTTAAATTATTAAGTTGGTCTTAAGTGACAAACACTGCAAAAAGGAACTACAAACTCAACAATGAGGACAATGTTTTCTCGCCACATACTTTTCAACTCTAGGAATGGCATCAGTGACACAGCCTTACATGGTACAAAGGCAGCACCTGATACAGACTACAGTCCATTTGTAACTTGGGTAGCATAGCCAAGGCTGTAGAGTGGCCAGTTTTGCAAGGGGTGACAAACCAATCTAGTATCAATTTCTATGCAGCTCATTAGTTAAGAGATTTATTTTTTTAATGCTTGGGGTAACTCTTAAGACACACATACCTACACCCAGTATGTCTTAGTCATTCCCTAAGTATCTCTTTTTTAACTCCGATGTTTAAAATGTATGTTAAAAATATCCTTTTAAGGGGCTGGAGAGATGGCTCAGTGGTTAAAAGCACTGGCTGCTTTTCTAGAGTAGCTGGGTGCAATTTCCAGCACTGACATGGCAGCTCACAACTGTCTGTAACTCCAGTTCCAGGGGATGTGACACCTTCTCACCAATGCACATAAAATGAATTTAAAAGAATATCCTCTTAAGGGCTGGGGAGACGACTCGCTGAGAAAGTGCTTGCTGTGCAAGTATGAGGAACTGAGTTCAGATACCCAACACCCAGTGTGTCTCCAATCCCATTGCTGAGGATAGAATTGGGGCATAAGGATGGAGAAATAGAAATAGAAAAAGCCCTGGGCACTTACTGGCCAGTCAGAACAGCCCACCAGCAATAAAATGAAGTATCAGACACTGAACAAGTCAGCGGTAATATGAACTTATTCTGGGATGCAGAATGCGTTGGTGCTGGATGCATTTTGGGACAGCATTTCCATTATAGGGAGCAAGCAAGCTTCCTTAGATGGTACAGGTAACAGTACATCTGCCAAGAGATGCTGACTTGAAGCTTTATCTATGCTGCTGGCTAGGGCACTTACTGGCCATTCAGTGCCCAGGCCAGTGAGGTACCTGGCCAGGCAATAAAATGAAGAATGACTGAGGAAGACAGGTGACATCAACCTCTGGTCCCCCACACATGAACACACACACCCTTACTGTAACACCAAAGTCCCTTACTAAACTCCAAATCCCCTCAGAAGAATGAATGGGGTATACTAAGAGGAATAATTTATAATATGAAAAAGCATCTGTAAGTCGAACTTCTGTATTTATAGATGTTTTGTTTGGACAAAGTCATTCCCAATCATTTGTGCATCATTTCTGGATGATTTACAATGACAATGGTGGGATTCAACAGTTGCAAATGAACTTATATGGTCTGTGAAGCCAAAAGTTCTCAATGTTTGGCTTTAGAGAACGAGTCTAAAAGCCCTGGTTTATACCATGGCATGCAACTGATAGAGCTCTTTCCCCTGCAGAGTAGTGCAAAGTCTTTTTTGCTAGATGGACTGATTTATGTTCTAACACATCAAGAGAATTAAGCAGACATAGAAACAAATGAAATATAGCTGATATTTAGATAAAATTGTGGAAACTATAAACAAAAGCATGAAGAATGAACACGGTGAAATTTGAAAAATAAACTAAGAAGAAGGGAGCAGGCAGGGAGGGGCTGGGATGTAAAACTAAAGACTAAGTAAATAAGACACTAGATATACCACGTCTGTCTCCGGAGGTCAGAATGGAGTCGGAAACGTGGACTCTTGCTGGGAGGTTCAAAGAGGCCATCCAAGATCATCAGCTTGGGCCAGCTTCATCTGAGGAACAACAGATTCTTATTTTACACCCATGAGACCCTAACGCACCGGCCAAGAACTCCAAGCCCGGCCACTCCGAGAGAATTCTGTCCAGTACAACCAGCACTGTGCATCAGATGAGACAGCAGCAAGAGGCCAGCAGCATAGATAAAGCTTCAAGTCAGCATCTCTTGGCAGATGTGCTGTTACCTGTACCATCTAAGGAAGCTTGCTTGCTCCCTATAATGGAAATGCTGTCCCAAAATGCATCCAGCACCAACGCATTCTGCATCCCAGAATAAGTTCACATTACTGTTGACTTGTTCAGTGTCTGATACTCATGTGATGTTTATTCTTGTACAATGGAGTTTCCTCCACAGTTTGACTAGACTCTTTTTAGAAATCTCTTTCAGTAAAACAATCTTACATTCTGTGTTTGCCTCTCCCAACTCCCAGTGAATATGCATCTCTCCTGTGGCCTTTCAGCTAAACATTTTTCCCCCAAGACAGAATTGTTTGGGGCGCTTCCACTAACAACAATTTCTGTTGTTGAGTCATAGACATTATCGTAGTAGTGTTAAAATCTTTTTCTTTCCATATGATTAATGTTTTTTTAAAGATGCTAGTAAAGCTTACGATGTACCATATCTAAATGAGAGACTTGAAATACAGAATTTTACATTTGAAAATAAAACCTAGACAATAGAATGTCATTTTTTCCACATCTGTATGCCATTTGAACTGGTCACTACGTCTTAGGTGATTTATTGTCTGTTTCATCTGTTATTGACTCAGAAGTCTGACAAGGGACTCTCAATTTTTTTAACAGCAAATAATTCCTTTTAGTAAATCCAAGTGATCCCACCAACACTGCTAAGTTACAGAGAGTCTACCTACCAATGCCCACATGAAGACCTGATTGATTTGTAGAGCACAGCTCCCAAACTGCCTATCAGAGCTCACAGCTTGAAATGTTTATGGCCCAAACTCAAGGAACTTGACATCTGGTTAACCCCACTAGTCTCATCTTGTGAAAACAACTGAATGAACTTCAAACCTTTAGAAACATAAAAATAGCTCAATTAAAGCAACATGTGTGCCCGAGCCCCTGACATCCTTTCACACACACCCTTTCCAAACAGGACCAGTTGAAAGTGGGAAAGTTGATGAATCTGACTCTAGTACCTACCACCTTCACCTCCCCATGTCTACTAACACTGTTCCTCGAGCTAGCCATGAGGAGTGGTCCATTCAGGCAACCTGTCCAGATGGGGCTATACAGATTTTTCTGAAAAAAGAAATATTCTGCTTAACATATTCAAGGATATCTTTAGCCTAGAATTTGCTAGGAAGCATCTTAAGATTTCAAATAGAGACAATGTAAATACATGCCAACACTACAGAAAGGTAAATGGGGTGAGAGATGGGTCAAGGATACCCTGAAGATAATTCTTTAAAGATTTATTAGTTCCAATATAGAAAGCTGTATAAACGGAGACTTCTGTCGCATGAAAACACGTTAACCTTGATGTAACTATTTAAAAACCTATGTGATTAGAGACCCTAAACCCCAAAGTATAGTTCCTAGAATTTGAAGAGCCTACATTAAGAACCACTTTAGGGGTGAAGAGAGATCACGGACATTTAAATTGGGTGTTAGACATAGGAGACAACTGCTGTTCCTGCACTGAAAGCCCAGTGGATGCTTTTCCAAGTCTTTGTAACCCTGGGTCAGAGACGTCAGTGTGGAAACTGTGAAAGATAACAGCATCAGGAAACTGCCTCGTGTTCCTCTTCTAATTAGAAGATGGCCATGCTGGCTGACATTAATATGGCAAAGTGGCATGAGGAGATGAGCCAGCTCCAGGTGGCTCACACACAGCAAAAGCTTTCAGCTAGCTCTGTGTTGAAAGACACCATTCATTAACATCCCTCACTTCCAAGGCAAAGAAGAAAGTTCATTATAACAGAAGGCATGATTAAAGGATGACATATGGTCACCCCTTGGTGGCCATGGGGGAATGAGATCCCTATGGGTGTCTAAATCCTTGTATGCTCAAGTCCCTTGTATAATGTGGCATTACAGAATTACGTCTGCAAATGGCCTGGGCATACTCTTATACATGTATCAAATTATCTTTGATTACAAATGTAAACATGAGGAGGTAACTGCTGTAAACTGCCACCAGACTGTATTGTTCAGGGAACAATGACAAAGGACAAAGTCCTTATGTCAAGATGACTTTTTAATCCTTTTTAATCTGGTGGATTCCTCAGATGAGCAATCAACAGATACAGAGACCCAATAAGTGGGAAACTTCCTAAGGAATACTGGGGGATCTGATCAAAAAATATATATGGCTATGTTGGGTCTAGAGGGATGGCTCCACAATTAAGAGCACTGATTGCTTTTCTGGAGGACCTGAGTTCTATTCCAAACACTGACATGGTGGCTGACAACCATCTTTAGCTCAATTTCCAGGGTATCTGATGCTCTCTTCTGTCTTCCATGGGCACTGTATGCATGTGACACACGAAACCAAAAACACCTATATACAATTAATTAAAATAGAAGGGAAAAATTCAATGTGGCTGAAAGTGTGGAAGGGTGTTTTTTTTGCTATTTTTTTTCAGGAGGCAGACTATTTATTGTCTTAGTCTAATAAAATGAGTGGAGCCGGGGAGGAAGCAAGCACAATGACCTAAGTTCAGACCACAGAGCATAAGTAACAGAGTTGAGCATAGCGATAAGTACCTGTAATTCCTGGGTTAGGGCACAGAAACTGGTCAATCTGGAGTTTGCTTGTCAGCCAGTCTGATTAGGGATCCTCATGCAAGTGTCCCTTCTAACAGCAAGATGAACAGCACCTAGAAACAATATCCAAGGTTGGCCATCAGCCCCCCCCACCCACGAGTGAAAAAGAAAAAGAGAAGGAGGCCAAGAGAGAAGCATCTGTGAAAAACTACTGGCCCATCACCTTGAATCTAATAAGAGGTCTGATTAAAGGAAGTGACGATGGGAAAAGGTACCCTGTGGAGGACCTAACCTAACATGGAATAAAAGTGTCACCCTGCAAACTCATCTCAATTTTTGGCACACTTAGGGGAGGGGGTGGGGGTGGGAGTGGAGAAGGGAAGTGCTATCTTTGAGGGTCCTCAAGAGAAGAGACGAGATTATCCCTGATGCGCCTAGAAAATTCTGGGGACATGGAAGACAGGCTCTTGCATCTGTCTTGGTAAGACAGGATGCCAGACAGGCAAAGAGGAAGTGCTGGTTTAAAGAAACAAGAGCAGGCAGGCAACAGAAAGCAAAGAAAAAAAGGCAAGCAAAAACAGAGAGGGCAGGGTGAGTGAAGCTGAGGTCATGACCCGGTGCTCACCCAGACCACCTAGGGACAGACAGGTACAAATAGCAACTAGACTGCAAGCCAGGCACAGGCCCAGTGTTGAAGACCTTAGGGAGGCTGAGGTAGAAGAACAGTTGAGACTAGTTTTGGCTGGATAAGTCAGAATCTGTCTGGTACGAATGCCTGCACAAGATTGTTCCTATTGACTTCCCATCACAGAGGAACGGGCTCATGGGGCCCCTTTCCTCCCAGATGATACAGATATTGAATGATGGGGGAGTAAGAAACATTCTCCTCACTAGTATAGCCACTGATAGGGTGCACATGTCCTGATAACAAAATCTCACCATGCTCTATAACTCACTGAGTCTGATGAAACTCACTAAGTCCCCATTAAAAAAGACTCAACCCCAGAAGCCAGTAGAGGAAGATCAGTGGGAATGAGAAAGAAACAAGAGAAGAATGTGTAAATGTAAGAACACTGTGCAGGTCCCATAATAATGAAACCCATAATTATGTATAATTAATATACACTAATAAAAACATTTTTAAAAGACATGTATTTGAGTCCAAATCTCCCTCAGGCAACTTCCCTCAGCCCCTTGACTATCAAGCCACTATGAGTACTGTGTGGAAGTGAACTACCCAAAGTAAAGAGTCTCTCAATTCTGAGAGAACAGTGAATTAGAAGCTGTGGCAGCAAACACTTTCAAACAAAACCAACCACAACAAGGACACCTCCTCTTGGAAATCTTAGGGAATATCCACAGGGCTAGGATGAAGTCTCAGGCCAACTGGGTTAAAATCTCAAAAGTCAACATACCTCAATAATAAATGACTTCTCAAACACATGACAATGTCAGCAATGATAGAGTCAACTGGAGATATCTGAGAATACAAAGAATGCTCCCCACCAAAAAAAGGGGTGACCTGAACAAGGTTCTCAGGTAGATTTTTCTCAAAATGAGAAAACACCTACATGGGCATGTCCACAGGCATTTTCTATCCATCAGCCCAGAAGTCAATTCACTTTAACATGACCCACAGCATAGTAACCACTCGATCAATGGCTGTTCGCAATGGCTAGAAGACGCATCACTGAAGGCTCTTCATCTGGGAAGGAACTTTCTAGAACCCCCAGAGGAAAGTGCTGGTGCCACAAAGAAATGGGAGACAATGTCACTTCTTCAGTTAACAACACACAACAAAAATTTTAGCTGTAGAAAAAGCAAAACATGGCCAAGATTTTTTTGTTCACCTCACTAAATTAAGAAAAGGAAAGAAAGAAAAAAAAAATCAGTATTGTCTATCATTGATAAAAGCATGGAGAGCAACAAGCTTTGCCAGCACAGAGTAGCAGATAAGTGGATGCCATCCAAAAGGCAGAAATCTCACCCCAAATGAAATGTTAACAAGGTTATTGACCACACTGTCACCCCTTATCTCCCAACACAATGGTTGTCTTACTGAATTCTGCGAAACCCCACTATAAATCATTTAACATTTCCTGGAGTATTTAAAGCTGCCAGGCTTATGTGTTGGAATGCATTTTGAAGGCATACAAATCGTACATAGTGTCCTAAGCCTCACACATACTGGAAGACAAACCAGCCTTCCCTTCACTACTTCCGAGCCTCAGAAACATGGATCTGCATCCTCCCGTCAGCTGCTCTCAGCAGGGACTGCCACCTTCCCTACCCTTCTCCTCACTTGTGAGATAAGGTGGGAAAGACTCCCAAAGACACATATGTGAGCTGAAGAGAACAGCGCATGCTCATGAATAAGATACATATACAAACACACAGAGAAATACATATGAATGTATATAGGAATACATACATAAATACGTACATGAATATGTATCCAGATATGAATATGCATAGCTACGTGCCTGAAGCATGGCCTACAAATCTGTCATCTTCGTGTGCACAAAGATTTTTCTGTATCTCTTAAGGCTGATTATAGCCTGGTCTCTGTCTCCATCTACTCTCTCTTCTCCCCCACAAGGAATGTTCAGTCTCCATGTCTATACTGGCTTTTGTGACTCCAAGTCCACATCTCTAGCTTGGACTGCTTTCCTAACTTTCAGTTCAATGTACATTCATCATCTTCCAGAAAAACACATCAGGAATTAATATCAGTGGCTTGAGTGACTCCCAAACCTCAACTCATTCCTTCCCTGCCTGCCTTCTCTCCTCATCTGTTAGTGCAACGGGTATCTCTCACACCCTCTGTGCCCCAAATATATTAGGGACATCAAGTCCCACCACCATGCCTTCCAAGTCATTCAAGTTCCTTACACTGATGTTCTTTGGAACATCACAAGTCTCTCAAATCTGGGCTTCTCAGTCTATACAACAATGGCAGATGGATTATCCCAGCACATAGCTCTGAACAAGGGCCATCTAAGCTCAGAAAATCCTGGCTCTGCCCACTGGCTGTAGAGACAGTCTTCAGAGGGCTTGTTTATGAGTCACAGAGGTTCATTTGAACCCTTGGTAACATCTCGTTCCTGTGGACTTGTGGGAAGATCATAAAACCCTTCAAAGACTCAAGGTTTCCTCACCTATATTTTTATCTGTGGGATACAATACATGCTGAAGTTTCCTTAACTGAACACCTGAAGTCCATAATATTCTGAAATCACTCACTTCTAGCAGGTCATGACAGCATACCCCAAACTATCAGATTTCAGAATATTTCAGATTTTTTATTTTTTAGATCAGGGATGTTCGATTGACTAATTCTATGCAAAGTATTTCATGCAAAACTTCTGGTCAAAAACATTTCAGATGAGGAACAAAATCTGTAGGGTACCCTTTCTTGACGGATTATGAGTATAAAAAACATACAGATATATAATGAATGATCCATCACTGAGGCGGATTCCTTTTCCACACCAATTTATTGTTACCAAATATATTCCCTCTATTCATTTGCCAAGTATGTTTCAAACTAATCTTTCTTCTCCTTCGGTGATCAATGCATCAAATGGAACCACACAGGATTGTGTTTGAGCACCAAGCCTGTAGAGTTTGTTGAGTATTCAGTACCCAAAACAGCACTGCTTTCTTCCTGACGCAAAAATCTAACATCCACTTCTGCTGCTAACTGCAGGTAAGAACCTTATTTGTTTCACTACTTTAGCCTCGGGCTAGGATCTGAGTATAAACTTGGGTTTTCTCAAAGTTGTTTCAGGCAATAGTAAAGGTGTCACAGACCCCAACTGTGGAACAGAGTAGATGGGGAGGATCTAGTGTATCTCTTAGAACACTAAAATCTAAAACTGAGTTCAGACCCTTAATACTCCTTTGCCAATAGTTGGTAAGTATACCCTTTCTTAGTAAATTTAACACTGACATAATGGGAAAAATGACATAATCTGTATTTTAAACAGTCCAGTCATACTTCTTTTCTTTTCCCTCTGTAAGTAAAGCTTTCTCATGCTCTGAGGAGCCTTCATAAGGACAAGGTTTAGATATGAAAGGACCACATTGAACTTGAGTGGCTTAACATTGCCTGTGATCTGCCTCTTTAATTTGTCATTGCTAATTACACACACACACACACACACACACACACACACACACACACACACACACAGCTATGCACTTCATAGAATGCCGTGTGAACAAATAAGTAGCAGTCCCTAACATAGTGATCTATGCATTTGTGATCACTACACATCCTGACCTCAACAACTACACCCATGTGTCATCTTCAAATGGCATCTATTAACGACCCATATGTTCACACTGCAAGACAAAAACAAAGGCACCAGTTCGATCCAGCTTCTACTTATTTCATCAGCTAATGCTCTTAAGAGAATGGGTGGCGTTCCGTTATTGAAAAAGTCTCTAGCTGTCAAAACAAGAAACTGACTGGGTTATAGTCAGAGGCTTGTAATGGCAACACCAAGCCAAAAGCCAGAGCATACAATGAAAAGGAAAGTTCTGCCGATTGTTCCGGGAAGTCAGTTTCGACACGGTGCCGGCACATCCAGCCAATTCAAAAGGCATGAAAAGTAAAGTCTCCCGCTGCGCTTCAGCCAATCCAGCCAGCGGATTTCCTTTGCTAACTTTATTTTTTTAATGTCCTCTAGACTCATCGTAAATCATTTCCAATCTAATTCTCCGGCTTCCCAATTTTAACTGTCGGCCTTATTTAAAGAATGGCCTCTATATTTAACAAATCCCATAGCCATACTGAGAGCGCATGAGCTAAAAAAGTAGACGCCTTCTAAAATCCCTCACTTCGCTGTGCCACTTTTAAAGCAGCTTAAATGTTAAACAGCTCAATTGTCTTACCTAGCAGTGATGTGAAAATGATATATATAGTTTTCTGCTAATGAACAAAACAAGAATTACCAACCTGCCCCGAACATGGCTCCCCACTTCTAGGCTCCTTATGAACTGTTTTCATGAACTTGTGTTCTAACCCACCCATGATCTATCAGGGACAGAAAGCAGATTCAAGAGAACTTAACACACCTTTTCTTAGCCGCTGTGAGATA